TGATCAAAGTGAAGATATAAGTAAGAATGGCGCCCAGTTGAAAATATATGCATATGGGAGCCCAAGTCAAGAGTAATAAGGTACATGACCTCTAATCATCAAAAATGTACTCCAACAACCCCAAATGTCATTAAGAAAACAAAATTGTCCCAACCTTGGTAAGTTACCATATCAAAGCACAGCAGGGACCCACTCTCACTTCTACTTTGCAACTTATATCCCTGATGATTTAGAAGACACTGAGCTTTGAATCACCTTAGTCGGAGCTCCACATCTCTCACTATCAAAATTTGGAGTTCAAGAAATGCGGCTAATCGTGGTTTGTCCTTTTATCAAAAGAACAGACCCAAAATCTCTCCGCAAATGCGTCCAAGAAGGCATGTGGAGGATCAATAAAATACCCTTCACAAACGTGGAAAGGAGATCGCAAACACAAAGACAAAGGGGACATGAGGTCGCGAAAGTTGCAAGTGTCTCGTGAACACAAGGGTCAACAACCCTGACCTTTGCAAAAATGTTCAGGCCATGCGAACGCGGAGGCTAGCCAACCTTCTCTTCTTGAATGCGGCCAAGAGGGGCTCATGAATGCAAAGGAACAAGCTTGACAGCACTAGTTGATGCATATGGAAAGTCCCAAATCTCTGACGAGGTGCTCGAAATTCGTTCAAAACCCCATGCCCATAAACAAGATATGCTACCCCACCAAAATTAACAGTCTGGACTCAATGGAGAAGTTAAAACTTCCATCTGATCTCGTCTCATCAAAAAATGGATCCCACACCCAAACTCCATTTTTAGCCTAAATTTACAAGGGGATAGGTATTAATTATCTATGGAGCTTCGTGATCCGCATGTTAGGGTTTACCTTTTCATGGAATGGATGAACCTATTCTCAAACGCAAATGTCATAGATGAGCCAAACTTTTGACAAATGACATAGATGATCCTTTTCTCAAAGTTCAATGGCATATTTTAGCCTTTTCCTTTTCTTTTTTTTTTAAAATTCAATCTATTAGAAAAAATGGTAAATATGTTGGTTTGTTAGAGAACGAGGAGATATATACAACATCTATCAACGGCAGGGTACATATGCACCACATTATTAGTGAGGGGTATATCCTCTCTAACTCATAAAGTTAAAGGATTAAATTTTCCTTTTTCCCAAGTAAATTATCTGCTTAATTTGTGCTAAATATACCCTATCAAAATTGTTAAATATAGACATAGAAAAAACACTTCTTTATTTCTTCTCTTCCAACTTATTTAGTTTTGAATATTTTAGTGCAGAAATGGGTCACGTAAAAGTTTCAACTTTTTTCTTGGGGGTGGGGGGTGCGGGTGGGTGTGAGGACTGGGGTAAAACATTTTGTTTTTAGAGCTTTTAATAAGATCCTTACTATAATATGAGTACCCATATTATCCATTGGTTAACTGATTTTTAGCCATTTAAAATATGAGTTGAGTCGAGTATTTTATCCATGTTTGTGTAACTCATTTTTTTATCAACACATACACGACTTGACCCGCTTGTTTGCCACTCCTATATAAAACTTGTATTTTTATGCTCTTACCCAACGCCATCTATTTTCATAGGAGTGTTACTAATTACGATATATTTATAGAGGGAGTAATTAAAGTACATAGTTAGTTGATAACGCTCAAACTACTACTCAAAATCAATTAAAAGTGTAAGCAACCATTTTTAATAAAAAAAACTAACTAAGAGTCAGGGTCAAATCCCGTTGAGAATGATACAAGGTAAGGAATTCTATCAAGAAATTTGAAACGTAAATTAATTCAATTACATGAATAAAACACGTAGGTGTATGATATCACCAAATTGAATAAAAAGATTTGGTTATCAAAAGTCAGAATTAATCTAAAATTTCAAAAATTCAAAGAAGTAACAAGTAATCTAGAGGTGCATGGATTGGAAATTGATGTGACATATGGGTAATTGTGTTGCTATATAGTGATACACATTCATGGATAGGCTAAGTCATTTTCAATGACACTAATCTTCTTTCGATCTCATAACATCATATCATAGAATATCCTTTCGGTCTCCTCTATGTGCTATACTAAATAACCCAATACCTTACACTCTTTTCTCTTTCGATGCAGAAATAAGGCAAATCGATTCGACCCACAACTTCTATTTTCAAGCAAGTTATAGACATCAAACATAAATTGCAAGTATCAGACTAATTACCCACTTTAATTCATCTCTTTAGGCATGAATCAGAGATCAAAAGTAGGAATTAAGTTTGCGACCTTAACACATCAATTAACCCCATGCTAATTAGCCCAAATCCATATATGAATATCAGTAAAACAGAGCATAACACAATACCACTACATTAAATCAACACCCAACTCCATAATTGCACTAGTAGATTTTGAGGTTTTAGCAACCCATCATAAAAAGTAAAGAAATTATACCTTCCATGAAAGTAGTCATGGGTAACATAAACTTCACCATAATAGACAACACCCACTTTGTATTTCAACATCAAATTGGCAATTTCAAGAGCAAAAGTTGAAAAACCCCATAAACTAAAAGTGTTCTTCACAGAGTAAATTGTTTATATCTCTAATAAAAGATTTCTTCACTATTGTTCGGGTCTTAGAATTTTAGAACTCTTATTTTTTCTCTCCTTTGGGCTATTTATATTTTTACCAAAATTTGGCAAAAACATAATGTGTGACCCAGTGGGCGATGCTATTTGGACTCACCAATCATGGTAGGTGGATCGCTAATTGTTCTTCAGCTCACCATTTTCTTGCTCTAGGCTTCAGGTGTTTGAACCTCAGTTTCCAAGCTCGTTCAAGTCTGACTTTCATATTCGGTGTATCACCCACTACCATCTTTGTTTTCCTTTTGAGCTTTCAATTTTTCTTCTTAAACTGTCACCTTCAGCGATGGTCAGCATGTTCGCCTTTTTCATTCGGTGTATAACTTTTTCAATTGGAGTTCGCCGACTTACCTCGATTAATTCAAGTATTGTGCAATGTCAATTTGGGCAAAGTCATACCCATTAGGCGATCCACCCTTCTTGTTAGGTGATCAACAATATGGTGTTTACACTTCTTTTTATACTTTTGGCTATTCTTTCAAACATTCATCCTTGCCTTGTCCTTTAGCCTTCATAGCTGCAAATAATCGAAATATCATTAGAATAAGAAATAATTAGGCATTGAGGACACTAATTATTGACCTAAATAGGACTTAAATGAGTTTTACTATACCACTCATAAACACCTCTAACTTAAAATTTTATTTGTCCACAAGTAAATCAAAAACACAATCAACTCGACAGGTCTACAACAGTTCTCAATGAGAGCTAACATGCAAGTGCCATTACAAGACTACTCCCAACAACATGCTACACTCAATCATGGTCTAAAATATTCAAATGATCTCTAGATGGTATAAACTCAAGCTCAAGCTCACAATAGCTTCTTTTCATAACCAAGAAAAGTTTCAACAAATGCATTCAAATGCCCTCACATTAAGAACGATTCCTTACTATCACAAAGAAAATCAATAAAGAAGTAGGGAATTAATGCAACGCTCACTCTCCCAAAAGAGAAATACATGAAAGCTTCATTCAATAGGTTTGCCCAATTTTTTCAATCATCACACAATTTAGTTCATGCAAGATCTCAAGGATCTTTTATGATTATAATGTCTCTGAAGGCTAAGTTATGGTCAATTAGGCTTAGTGACTTCACCTTTTCAAAGAATTGTTGCAATTATCTTCACCTCTTCTCAAGTTTTTTTCATTCTTTTTGTTTTGTGAACTCAAACATTGACTTGTCGATCATTTTATTGGGAACCCTCTTTTATTTCATCATCTCTTTTTTTCATTTTAATTTTTCAACATTATTCATAACAATATTTCTCTTTTTTTTTTTATAAAGAAGGGTCCTTCTTTTTGTAACAAACATCAAAGTTGAGTCTAATTTCATCTTTCTTTGCCTTTCACTTGGATTTTCTTCCTCCTTACTTTCCACACCCAACTTAGGATTTTGGCGTAAGTTGGCTATCCAATGCTTCAGAAAGGATTTTAGATGAGAAGGTAGGGACAATTTGGCTCAAGGGGTTTCAATATGGTTGTCCACAAATGGTTTACTCTCAAATGGTGCCGAAATGGATGCACACCCTCAGAAGGTAGTCACAAAGGGTATGGAAATTTGGGTTCCATCTTCTTAATATTTACCAAAGATCATGCCTTGCACTTACCAAGGTTTAGACAATTAGACTAACAAGGCAAATTCTGGGATCCGACACACAAGCTTTCATGTAAAACCTAACCACACATGGCACTTCAAATACACCCATTTATCACAACCTAAAATGATCAAAAGCTTACATGCAATGTTCATTGCAAGGCTCACATCAAAACGCAACTAGTCAGCACAAGATTCAAAAAGATCACTCAATAGTGCACCCACGTCAATTCTTTCTTGAAACACAAACACTTTACACTCACAACAATATTTTAGTCTTTCAGCCACACTTGTAAAGTGTTGCCTAAACTAGCAAAAAGTGTGGCCTTTAATAAAAGGCAACACTCTTTTACTTTAGGCAACACTTTTTTGGGGTGGCCTAAAGAGGTGTAGCCTTTGACCTTAGGCTACACTTTTCAAGTGTTACTGTAGCAACCACGCTTCAAAAGCTTGGCCGATGAGGTACAAAGGCCACGCTTTGTAGCATCTCATTGGCAACACTTTTATTTGATAAAACTATACTTTCTAGCGTAGTCTTTGCTTTGTTATTGGCCACACTTTAAAAGTGTACCTTTTTATACCTCTTCAACAACAACACTTATAAAGTGTAGACTTTTCAAATGTACATACTACATTTTACAATCAATAAGCCACATAATTAGCATTTCTCTAGCCACACTTTCAAAGTGTGGCAACGTTGTCTAGAATTTTTATAGCCACAATTTCTAATTGAAAAATAATAATTTTGGTTTGGATAGATTCACTAGTATTGCAAAGAAACTAACAATAGATTAAAACAAGAGTTTTACACAAATGAAAACAAAGAAAATATAACCATAACAAAATAGGACAGATGCAAAGAGTTATTTGTCTGTGGCTTCCACACGAAGGGGAACTCGAAATGCAACAGATAGCCTTATTTGAAAATGACATTAATACTCCAGCTAGCTATTTGTCTGATGATCCCTGGCTTCCAGCAAGCTCAACATCCAAGTTCTCCCCTGCAGAAGAAAAGGAAATTTAAGTTTTAGTAAATGAAAAAACAGAAACAAAGAGAGGAAAATTGTGGCGGATAGGATAGGTTTCAAAGAAATTGTGAATTTGATTGACCTTTCAACTTTACTGTGTAGCCTTGAATTCAGTTTCAGGGGGGAATATACTGAACTTGAATTTTATGTTTTGAGATATCATCTTATGTTCCACTATATCTTTTGCAGATTTGACTGCTTTGATTGTGTTCTCTAGCCTCATCTCGTAAAGGTTAGGTATATCAGCCAACTCAAATGGTACATAGTTGAGCTTATCACACGAGACAAGAACAAGTTGGCCAAGGATGGGGAAGTTATGATTCAACGTCTCCCAAGTTTCTAATTCTGCCCTCTCATTCCATAATACTTGGAGTTTGCTAAAACCTCCTACCTCCGGCTTCCAAGTATCACCCATGAATGCATTTTCTTTCAACTTAAGAACCTCAAGGAATTCCAATTTCCCTAATTTGGCTGCCTCACTCCATGCAAACCTTGTGTTTCCCAAAGTTAACTTCTTAATTGTACGTACAAGTCTGAAGAATGTTACAGGAAGTTGAACTATTTTATTCATGTAAACAACATCATTCAACAGTTTCAAATGTTCCAGACACTGTAGCTCTTCAAGATTGTTGATACCACCCTTGTAAGCACCAAGAAAAGTCGCCTTTGATTGTATATGGAACTAGAGGCAAGAGGAAGAGTCACCACATGGAAGAACCTAAGGTTTGTGAGTAGAACAATGAAATGAAAGATGAAGACATAAGCAATAATTGTAAAAGAGTACAAGTTCCTGAGAAATTTGTATATCCTGGTGATGGCTCTACTTTATTTCAGGAGAAAAATGACAAAATGGTCCAACCAGATGCTGGTAACCTAGAATCCCCTTTTGTGGAAATGACTGAGCATCTAAGAAATCTACAAGAACATATAGATCAGAAAGGAAACTCAGCAGAAAAATTCAAGAAGAAAGCATTGGACCAAATTGAAGTAAATGATAGATTCAAATCATGTTGTTGATTGTAAATTGAAGTAAGAAGAATAAATTTATACGGATGGTAATACTAATACTAGAAGTAGGAATGTGTTTGACAATATGATTACCATTGACATTTTTAGAGTATTTATCCAACTTTGTTACTTTTAAATAGAAAATACAAAAAAATACTAGAAATAAGTTAGAACAATATGCATCAAACATTCATTCAAAACTGAAATTCATTAGGCAACTCTAATCAAACAAGCTAAACATGGGCTCATCATCACACTCTTCCTGAAATTAAAATTCATAAAAAACATAAATCATAAATTTAACAAACAACAACGGGAAACGAATGGAGTTTCAACACAATATTATACAAAATCAAAATCAAATCGTACCTTTTTCTAACCCGCAACAGATGTTGCTGCGGCATCTTTACCAGTAGCAGGAGCAGCAGCGGCAACAGAGCTAGTAGAAGCAACGTTCATTATAAGCTCCCCCACATTTTTCTTCTCAACAAGGCTGGGCGAGTATGACTCCACCTTCCCATTGGCTAATGTACCTATTTTCTCAGCCTAAATAGAGGGGGAAAAATAGAGACATAATAAATACAAAAGTAAAGAGAGTGGATCTACTAAAATAATTTTGATTCGACTACGTTATAGTAACAGGAAAGCCATCATCGTGAAGGATCAAGCAAGCATAAGTACAGTTTTTTCTTTGAAAACACCTAGCAGAATATCATATTTAGGATTTGCACCAAGAAGCAATCTGGGGCAACTGCATGGAGATGATCATATAGATATAATATCAAAAACTCAGGGCATATGTAAGGTCAAGAGCTTTGATGGATCAAGACGAGAATATAAGTCTAATACAACTGATGAATTATCAGATGATGCAGTAAATTTGGAAAATCTCCTTTTCTAGAATCAAGAGGTATCATTGAAGAAGATAGATAGATTAAATTTTCCAAGCCATCATCCATGGAAAGTGATCCCGAGGACTATGAAGACAGTTCCAATATTCAAGTTGATTCAGCAACCACTGTCTCCTGAAATTTGTAATACCGAGGAAGACCCTCCTTGACCAAAAAAAAGCTCTCCAACAAAGGTTGTGCTAATATTTCTAGAGTTAGTCTTGCTGCAACTTCTTATAAAGGAATTGATTGTAGAAAGTTTGAAAGGTATTTAAAACAGAATGAAGAGGATGTGCTAACTAGTGCCATCACCTTATTTTCTTTCTCATTAGAGAAAGTTAAAAGCTAAGTGAAGTCTATGACTAACCAAAGATCTGCTGAGATCCTGAAGTCAGTTGCTGAGAAAGTACATATGCAATTGCAGAAGTATCATGTTTGAGATGGTGGCAACCACCTGATTGCCACTACTACAAATCCAACATGTGTCATGTAATCTCTTAAGATCAGAGAGCCATAACTGAAGTATCATGTTTGAGATGGGAGTATCAACATATTCTTTTATAAAAGAAGGAAGTATCAAGATATGGATCAATACGTTATTAAGGTCACATGAAAGATACAAAAAACTAACGGACCTGTCAGAATCATCTGCCAACATCTTGTAGGAAATCAACATCCGTTTTGACTTTTTTCCATTCAAGTCATCTATCATAGAAAGATTCATCAACATACCCAAACAAAGCAGCCATCTTCGTTTGCCAGTATCTTGGCGGTGGCATATCGATTGACGGTGCACTTTGTTTTCTTGTTGTTTTCTCTATGACTGATCTCTCATAACCTCCAATTCGAACCCAATCGTGTATATTTGGCTTAGATATCTTACGTTCACCGGTTGGTCTTCTAGAAATGGCCTGCATATCAATGGAACTTCCTCCAATATACTTTCAAATGTAGAATTCCAACCACAATGAGTAAAAACGTATGCTACCACGGGATGTGCAAGAAGCTGTATTAGTGGACTACCTGTTATGCACGAGTACCTATTCAAGTAATTTAAGCATGACTACCTCTTTCATTCATCAAGGTTGACAAGCTTTTGGATCCTCCCATGTGAGGCATCTTTTGCTTAGCTCTATGAATTCTATTTGCTTTCTAGAATGAGAAACAATACAATTATATTATTCCTACACTAGGATCCTCTATACCAATGCTTGCAATAAATAGAATTGTTCGTTTAACATACTTAACTTCTATTAAGAGCCTATTTGATTGATAAAGAAACAAAACATTTACACTAAGAATAACACAAAATATAGTGGATAAAGAAACAAGGATGCATGGTTGACAACCTACGTAAAGTTAAATTGATTTATGATGAACTCACACAAAATGGTATTACATCAACAATTGATACATAATGAGAGTAAACTAGGAATGCATGAAAGTACCAGACATAACAATATGAGATACATACAGGTCATTCATGCTATTTTGATGTTCTAAGTTGAGCGCCCAAAGTAACATCAATAGGTACAGAAGTGTATAAGAATACAGGCAAAGTGAGATCAACAGCTTAAACAACACTCATGTTTCTTATTTCTTGGCTAATGGTCACTGGAATGAAGCTTTGTTAAGGTAAAATATTCCACCTACCTTGGTTCCTAAAGTCATGGGCACTCAAATCTATTATCAGGCTGGAGTTGCAGATGAAGCAGTATGGAAACCAACTGAGAATTAGAATTTTTCATGTTCATCAGCCAAGAGTCTGATCAGGAAAAAAGGAAATAAACAAAGCTCACCTCACTTACATGGCAGAAGACTATTCCCTTCAAACTATCATTTCTCATATGGAGGGGATTGAGAGAAAAACTTCCAACAAATGAGAAGTTCAAAAATTTTGGCATGGAACCAATAAACGGCTCATGCTGCAGCATACCTGGAATGGATGACATAGATCATGTTTTTGTTTCAGGTCATTTTGCTAATCATATATGAAGGAAATTCTCTGCTTTTCTAGGTTTCTCTCACAAGAACATCACCTTGAAACACCTTCTGCTAAGCTGGTGGGAATTGGAAGCAAAAAATGAAGTTCAGAAATTGTTACAGCAGGCCCTGCCTCTTAATATTTGCTGAAACCTATTATTTAGTGTTTTCATATAAATATTGATAATCTCAATTATTCTTCTCAATAACAGCAGCCCCAAGGACAATGTTGTTGTTTAAAGCTTTTATCTAAGGAAATATTTGTTCTACACTTCACTTTTTAATAGAAATCAATCTTTTTCGAAATAATTTTAGGGTTCTTCACCAAAAATAAACTTAATCGAGCAACAAGCCTAACAAAAGTTCTAATTTTGCATCAGAAAAAACAAATATCAGAGCATATATATAGCATAAAATCCTTAAAAAGTAGAACAAATAGCAAGCCATCAGTATACAACCAAAAATCAACACAAATTGCAGCAAGATAAGAAAAACAAAACCACACAATAAACCTAGATGTTAGCTGGTTGAGTATTTTTCCAGTTATTCAAAAAAAATCATTTGTTTTGTCCAGATTCAAGAAACCCAGATCTTAAACATGGAAAATTTTACCTGATAACAAAAATCATTCCTGTGTGATGAAGTAGATGTTCATCATCTTCTTTTTCCAAGCGGATTACTCGTCTAAGGATCTGTAAATTTATTCGATGTAGCGTTTCCTTAAAGTAATTCGGCACTGATTGCTGAGAATTCAATTAGGAATTTTTTCTGAGAGGTTTCTTCTCCGATCTTTCTTCAGAGAGATTTAGAGTGATTTGGGAAAAGTATTTTAGAGTTTATTTTCTAAATTATTTTGTCCTATTAAAAGTTGGAGAGAGAGTTAAATATGTGAGAGGGAAAACAATATTTTAGTGAAATTCTAGGAAAATTAGAAGGCCACACTTGTAAAATGTTATTTTTAGAATTAGAAATATAGTACATTTTAAAAGTGTAGTCATATGTGTAAATAGGTGTTGCCAATTATATTATGAAGTATTAACGCTCATAAAGTTTAGTCTATATTACTAAAGAGCACACTTTACAAGCGTTGTCAATATTACCTGGCCAAAAGTTAGAAATTAAGGCTACACTTATTAAGCGTGCCCAAAAATATTTTAGGCAACACTTTATAAGTGTTGTCCCTATTTAGTGTGGCTTTAGGCCTAAAATGTTGTAGTGACTAGGCTCATCATGAGTACTATTCAAGACATTGTTATTGAACTCAATTAATCCTCAAATTATTATCAATGAAAACTCATGCCTTTCATGATTTCAAAAACTCATTGGGCAAGAGAAAGTTTTGAGAGAAAGAGGCTAAGAGAGATAAACCAAACCAAATGAAACACTATCATAAAAACAAAAAAAAAATACTACAATCATCCAAGCCTGAAATTAACAAAATACCAAAATACAATAAAAATGGAATATTGGTACAGGTGCTCTCTCCCCACCAAAATGTAAGCAACAGTCTCCTCAATGTGAAAATAAGATAAAAGAGTAAGAAAGGAAATGTGAAAAGGTCCCTTTATTAGTCTATGCTTGTGGAGTGCTCTCATCAAGAGTCTCCAGAGGAGTGGCATCATCTGGGAATTAGTGCCCGACAATAATATCACTGGAGTTAGCAATGTAGCATCATTCGGGGCATTAATTCCTGACACACACTACGAGGAATGGGGGAGTTTGAAGAGACTCCATTGGTGCCAACTGCAGAGATACCATACTTTATTGACGTTTTTACAAGACAAATAATTTTACTCTTATCTCATCTTATTTTGTCCGCATCTCATCTTCATTGTGTTCTTTTTCTTCATCTTTATCTTCTCATCATCTTATCTTCTTATCATCTGCTTCCGTCTTTATCTCTTTATTCTAGCTGGACGTCTGAAATTATATTGTCTTATCCGTTACATTTTGAACATATATGGTCAGGGTATTTGTGACCAATTAGCTTGCAATATCTGGTTAATAATTCTGCCAAAATAAATTCTACTTTTAGTGCTCGTGTCGAAGGTCGTTCTTCTGGCTTAAGTAATGATAAAATTCATCTTTGGACTTCATCCATATCTGATTTCCTTAGCTCCCTTGAATTAGAATAAATCATTAACTGATCTCTTGCATAGTAGCTCCATATAGCGTTTCCGTTTAAATAATTATTTGCTAGTTCTTGTATAATGGCTGATATACCAATTATTCTCTTATTGGCATAAAAACTGGGTATCTCGCTTTTTTGTATCTCTGGTTTGCTGTTCGATATCTTCTGGTATTATCATATCTTTTGTCAGTCCTATTTTTACCACTTGTATCAGAGGTTTTATCTCCTCGTATAATATCTCTGCTGT